GTTCTGCCAGTGTTGGTCTCCCCAGGATGCAATTATAGAGGGACGGGCAATCGATGACGAGGAAGCGTACTTTAACTTGCCTCGTCGCCATGCCCTCGCCGAAGGTAACCATGAGCTCGACATACCCCAAGGCTTGGAGGTCGAGCCGTTGAAGCCCTATAAGTCTGACCCTACATATGGCGAGAGGTGCAAGTCGTCTAGCTGCAGAGTCCAGAATAACTGACTGTACATCACGTCGACGGAACTTCCTTCGTCGACGAGGATGCGATGCACATCGAAGTTAGCCATTCTCGCTCTTATTAGTAGAGGAATGACTGCATTGGGGTCTCCTCCGGGGAGCTCTTTGAGGTAAAAGATGATGGGCTCCAACCTACCTTTTACCCTTTCAAAGGTCACTATTTGCGGAGGTGCCGCGTTGACCAGTTCATCCAACTTTCTTTTAGCTGAATTGATAGTGAGGTCATTGAATCCCCCACCATTGATGACCATGGCGGAGGGAAAGTATTCCCACCTGCTGTGTGTCGTGAGCGGCTCCTGCAGGTGTTCGGGGATGTAGAAGTCCTCCGGTCTGGTGACGGAGAAGGCGGTCTGGACGGGGGCCGACTCATCCTATGGTCGGGCGTCTTCCTCCGACTCTCTTGTCTCCTAGGCGTCACGACGGGGAGCTTCGTTTCACCGGTATTGGGCGAGCCTCCCTCCCTTTGATGAGGGTTTCGATGGCGTCCTTGAGGTGGACGCAGTCTTCAATCAGATGACCATGGCTCATATGGTATTGACAGTACTTGCTTTTGTCTGCTCCGGGCTTGGCGGGGGCAGGTCGGGGGCGTTTGACGCCGCCGTCTTTAAAATCCGTGCTGGCACACTCCGCCAAAATGCATTCGCGGGAAGCTGTGAGCGGAGTGTATTCGGTAAAACAACCCGAGGGTCCTCTTTGCTCTCGGACTTCTCGGGGTCTATCCTCTTTTCTTTTCTCCCCGGCCCGTCGAGGAGGGGCGGCTTCCTGGCATGGGTTGCTGCTGGATCCGCGAGTTCTGGGGTCCCGGGCTCTGTTGGCTGCCTCCCTTTCCTCGTAATCCATGTATGCCCGGGCTTTTTCGAGAAGGGCATCGAACATTTGGGGCGGCTCGATGCCTACTTCCTTTCTGAATTCTGTGCCGTGGAGGAGCCCCCTCTCCAGCAAATACCTTTTCATGTGGTTCGCGCAGGGGACCTGTATGGCTTCACGATTGAAGCGATTGATAAACTCTCTCAAGGTTTCATCCTGTCTCTGGATGATGGCCTCGAGAGCCGCCTCGGTCTTTGGGTGTCGCCGAGACGCAGTGAACGAACTTATGAATTGGTTCTTCAGGTTTCGCCACGAGGTGATTGATCCCGGAGCGAGGCCTTTATACCAATCCATTGCTGCCTTTCTGAGGGTGGTGGGGAACAGCCGACATTTGATGGGTCCCCCGATGTTGTGATAGTGCAGCATAGCCTCGAACCCGTCTATATGGTCGACCGGGTCCGCGACTCCGTCGTATTCCTTCAGATGTGGAGGCTTCTCCATGCCCGGGGGGATGGGCGCCTCCATGATGGCCTGTGACAGGGGACCGCAGGGGTCGTCCTCGTCACTTCGCTCCGGGGACAGGGATGGGGACCTGTAATATTGTCGAGCCCGACGGTCCTGGTCGTGCTGGGCATCCCTCGAGCGTGGTGCTCGTTGGTTGATTCTTTTGTGCCCGTCTCCAGAGTGTCTTCTTTCTTGTCGTATGGGGGCGTGGCCGCGTCCCCTAACTTCAATGACGGGTTACCTCTCCAAAGGGGGTCGTCTCCCCGAGGGTCGGGGTGACGGGCTTCTGGAGGCGTCTTTGTATTGTCTCCGTGGGGGAGACGGGAGATGCACCTCTGTCACTCGAGGGGTGGAGTCTGGGGCCTCCTGTGTCTCCTTGCGGGTCTTCAATCGTCTTCTAGTGCCCTCAATCTTTCCCCCTGGGCGAAGATGAGGTAATTCGTCTGATTGATCGCTGCGAATAGTGCACGAGTGGTGGCATCTGCCCCGGCGGGGACATGAACTTCCTGAAATTGGGCAGCTCGATGGCTTGTGGGAGTTGCGTTGTCTTCTTCGAGCGGCGGAGGGACTGAAGAAGATGAGGCAGTAACTCCGTCGCGGAGGACTGAGGGTCGGGGTTGGTGCTCCCGGGGAGTGTGTTATGACCGGGGTTACCGGTATTGTCGGGGAGTCCATTCTTATCTGTGAGGCCGTTGTTGGTGTCAACAACGTGAACGTTTTGGTCATCACGAACTTGGTCAGCCATGACGGTAGAAAGTGAAATTGAGCTTTGGTCTTCGAGGTTTTGCAAGACAGGGAAGTTAGTTTCCCACAGACGATGCCACTTATCTTACCTGATCAGACTTGGATCGTCACGACTTGCTCCGAGCGGAAGTTGAGTGAGATGGGGGGGGATACCTGCAAGGCACTCTGATGCTAAAGTGAGTGATGGTACGAGCAGGCAAAAAAGTGTATGTATGGGTAGAAGAATGAATACCTGACCCTCTAGGAACAGAGGGTATTTATAGCCCCCAACGCGGGGTCAAGGTCCCTTCATTGGGCCGACCAGAACTGGCCCAATAAAGGAACTGCCAGGTTCTACGTGTGTAGTGGGGACCCGCACGTGGTCTCCTTCCTGGTGATGCTCTGCGAGAAATGAGGAGGGACGAAGACGCGGTCTTTCCGGAGTTCAGGTGATTTGGTAACGGTCAGAGTCTGCCCTACGAGGAAGGTGCTCGAGCTGGAGTTCCCTGCGGTCGAGGACACCATGTTCGCGGGCAACGGCGGGCACGACTGCCATTCTGGTCGGGCGCGCTGGCGGGAATCCTCGGGCGCGCGCTCCTCGAAGAGTTGCTTGGATTGGGCCTTCGTTCTTGCTTTTGGGCCAGGACGGGCCCAGTCCAGAATAAAAACACATGACCATAAAATATGATAGGCAAGAGATGTAGGCGAAGAATCATTAAAGAGTGTGTGTGAGGTAACACTGATATAATCATAAGGAAAAAGCAGATTTAAAACTTTGCAACCTGAAATTCCAATTTGATTTTGTGTTATCTTTACCGAGGTTAAGTTCAAATATAAAGATATTTAAATGTATTAGCATTCTTAGTCCTTTTCTGAATTTGGTATTTTCATTATTGGAACAAGTGGAGAATGTAGTAATTATTAATTAATGAATAGATTAATTAAAATACATAATCATCATTGTGTTCCAATAATAACATGACACATTCAGAGGGAGAATTCAATGTGTAAAAAAGAATCCCACATTGAAAGTTTAATTCACTTTCATGCTTCTTATATATAGTTGCACTTCTTAACTCATTAAGGAATTAAAGGGGAGATAATGCCACATGGATAAATGTGGTGGGCCAAAGTATTTATGTCACTTGTCATCTTCAAACTCTCTCTTGCCGGTGGTGACACCGACTCTAGGACTGAGACCGAGGGCGTGGGCGTAAAACGTTAGTGACAGCTTTGTAGGTGAAATTTGAGCACTTAGGTAACACATATGAGCAATTAATCTGATATTGGCGGCAAGACGCCATACGTGGCAATGGTCATTACTGCAGTTCATTATTTTTAAATTTGAATAGTTGTAATACTTAGTAAAAAGTTACACTACTTAATGGAAATAGTTGCAATACTTGGTAAAATGATGTATTTTTTATCAAAGGTCACAATCTTGTGAAACTATACCATTTAGTCTACAAATAGATTATTCAGAATTCAGAAAAAGAATGTAATTCAAACTCCCCTATTCATTGCTTAATTTCAAAATTTGTTTTTGTTACATCAAAGTTTTCATCTATCTTGTGCAAACTCAAATTATGTTGAATTATCTCGAATATTTATTCTTGTACACTCTAAGATAATTTAGGAAGTGTTTGAATTACTATTAAGAAAATGTTCATGTGCACAATTATAACCTTAATCCATTTAATTTAGAATCATTTTCTAACAAAGACACCTTTTAAATTGATTTACACCCTTTTGTTAGAACATGTAAATATGCCTCCATACAAAAAAGAAACACCAATATTTCCATTTCATATTATTAACACTAAATATTACCTTTTGTTATTATATTTTATTAAATGTTTATCAAAATATCTAAAATATCAATATATTTCCGTTACATAGACTTAGAAACATAATTACGAAAAGAAGGAAAAATCCAACAAAGAAGGACAAAAATAAATATTTTTAACTAAAAAACAAAAAGTAATTCAAATATTTAAATATAAAAATAATAAATTTTCTTTATAAAGATTATAACCATTTTAAAAATAAAATAACTGTAAAATAATTGTTTATATTTTCACTTTGTCCAACACACAAACCAATTAACTAATATATGAATAGCATTGAAACTAGAAAAAATCATACTAAACAATAAAATAATTTGTTAGTTTTAAATAAAAAGTAAATAAGTAAGTCACAAGAAAATATGATTAGAGTTAAAAAAAAAAGAAAAAAAAGAAAAAAGTTGTGTGTGATATGTTGAGTGGAGACAGTAAAATTAGTTAATGCAGGTATTATTATTTAATTGAAGTGGCATACGCAATAAGGCGCAAGTACTGTTTTTGACCTTTCGTTTTCTGGATCTAGGGTTTGGGTTTTCTCCTTCTGTGACGATCTCCGATTCATATTCATCGAACCCATTTTCAAGCCCTACTTATACACCACCACCTAAACATAAATTATTAACAAATCAATCGCCGCCAACAGAATCGGAGATTCACGATTAGGGTTCATCGAATATTATTGTATTTTCCCCCAAATCATCGTCACCGGATCTTAAAATTTGCCCTAATTTTTCATTCTGTTTTATTATATATTCCGGTAATTCGAATATCAGATCAATCTTAAACCGATTTTTGAAGCAATTATGATGATGAATACTAGTACTTTTTGATGAATTTTCCAAAGACTTTGTTTTTTGTGATTTGATTTGAAGGGACCAAAAAAAATGTATAAATCGGTGGTTTATCAAGGGGAGGTGTTGTTGGGGGAGGTAGATATATACCCAGAGGTGAACAACAGCAAGAACTACGATGTGAAGGAAATTCAAATTTCTCACTTTTCTCAACCCAGCGAGAGGTGTCAACCACTTGCTGTGCTTCATACTATTACCTCTTCTGCTGTTTGCTTCAAAATGGAGTCAAAGACACAGCATCAGAATCAGCTCTTTCACTTGCACTCCTTATGTATCAGAGAGAACAAGGTAAAAATCAGAGTTAAAAATATATATAAAATCAATCAGATTAAACGCCACTAAAACCCTATGATTTTGGACTAAATCTCACAGGACTCAAAAAAGGACTCAATTATCACTTGTGTGTTAATGTTGACACATTTTTTGTAATAATTTGCCCTAACTTACTAAATTTGTTGTTTTTAACTCAGATGCTGAACTAATTGGCCAATTCCTCACTTAACAGATACTCTAAACTGAATTTATGATTTTCAGTGAGACTCTTTTATAAGGACTCTTGTTTCCTGTTGATTGATCTTATACTAATTGTTGCCAAGTTGACAAGTTTGTGATTCATACTGAAGTTCGTGTCTCTGCTGGTTAGGGTTTTTGGTAAAACAAAATTTAAATTTAATGGAAATTATGGAGGGTTACACTCTAAAGTGCTGATTTGAACATAATAGTAATTCTGTCCACTATATAACATACTGAAAATATGGGTTGGGTTGTTTATGATATCATATTGTTTTGGCACTGTGTGCTTCTTTTGCATTTCACAAGTTCCCCTGGCTTACGATGCACCCTGTCTTTTTTGCGCTGACTTAAATTTATTCCGTCATCAAGTCTACCTTTTACTTTCTATTTAATTTTCTCGTTAAGTATTAATAATTTTCACAATATCTGCAGACTGCTGTTATGCCGCTGTTTGGGGAAGAGTTGCATTTGGTTGCGATGCATTCGCGAAACGATGACAGACCATGTTTCTGGGGATTTATTGTGGCTAAGGGACTTTATAATTCGTCCCTTGTGATGTTAAATCTCAGATGTTTGGGTATAGTGTTCGATCTGGATGAAACACTTATTGTAGCAAACACAATGCGCTCATTCGAGGATAGAATTGATTCACTTCAGAGAAAAATAAACTCTGAGGTAGATCCACAACGAATTTCTGGTATGCAGGCAGAGATCAAGCGCTACCTAGATGACAAGAGTATATTGAAGCAGTATGCTGAAAATGATCAGATAGTTGATAATGGTAAAGTGATAAAAGCTCAATCTGAACTTGTTCCAGCATTATCTGACAGTCATCAGCCCTTAGTTCGACCGCTGATACGGTTACATGAAAAAAACATTATTTTGACACGCATCAGTCCACAGGTATATAATTTTTCTCTAACCAATCATTTATTGGTATCTACTATTCTATTGTCACATCGCATCTCGTGGCTGTGCATTTTCTTCTAGATTTATTATTCTAATGGGTCCCGATATAGTCAAACTATAGATCCTACCTAGTAGTATCGGGGATTCGAGGATCGTAACACGGATCAACGATTACACACTTGTTGTATTATTAATTAAAATAAAAAATATATAAGCACAAAGACTTGTCAGAATCAGTAGTCTAACAAAAGCTAGTGTGTTTTGAAAGATTCGCGACACAAGTGTTCTTGTGAGGATGAGACCTGCATGGGAAGATCTTCGGAGCTATCTGACTGCAAGAGGGCGCAAGCGTTTTGAGGTTTATGTTTGCACAATGGCTGAAAGGGACTATGCACTAGAAATGTGGAGACTTCTCGATCCAGATTCAAATTTGATAAATTCTAAAGAACTACTAGGTCGCATCGTATGTGTTAAGTCAGGTAAGTCCTTAAATGGTATATGTTTTTTTCTTTCCTTTTAATTTTGTTTTCAAAGAAAAGCTGTATATTTATGATCGAGCATCTGAAGGAAGCGGAAATTGTGAACACGAGGACATCTTATATTTTAGGTTTAAATTAATCACTTTGAACTTTACAATAATTTCTAATGGGGTCCCCAAATTATAATCGGATCTTTGAGCTTTCAAATGATCTGTAATTAGGTCCCTGTAATTTGCGACCTTGCTACAAATACTTCAAAGTTCAGGGGCCTAAAATAAAAATTACTTAAAAGTTCATGGACCTAAATACAAATTACTTAAAAGTTAGGGGACCTAGACACAAATTATTTAAAATTAAGGCATGTGATTAAAATTGAGGGACCTAATTACAAATTATTGACAACTTTAGGGACCTAATTACAAACTTTTTTTAACTTAGGACCTATTTAAAAATTCTCATAGTTTAGGGACCGACAGAGTAATTCAACCTATATTTTAATGTTTATATGAGTTTGATGTAGAGAATCTAGAGATACAACTTCTGTATGCTTTATTATTGTACTGGACTGTACGCCCATGTTTCTGCGACTTCTGTTTCATTCATTTTTAATTCTTCTCGTGTTTCAATAATATTATAATAGGTTTGAAAAAGTCTTTGTTCAATGTCTTCCAAGATGGCTCATGCCATCCAAAGACTGCGTTGGTAATTGACGATCGCTTGAAGGTGTGGGATGAGAAAGATCAACCCCGGGTGCATGTTGTTCCTGCATTTGCTCCATACTATGCTCCTCAAGCCGAGGTTAATTTGCTGGCATACATGTTGGAAACTCAATACTTTCAGTTGCATGAGCGAAATTTCATCCTTTTTTAGTTACATGAACTAATTAACTTGTTTGTCTTGTAGGCAAGCAATACTGTCCCTGTCTTGTGCGTTGCAAGAAATGTTGCTTGCAATGTTAGAGGTGGCTTCTTTAAGTAAGTTATACCTCTCAAAAGTTATATTTATTTGCATACTGAGAAGTGGAAAATCCTTATTCAATAGTTTAGAGGTTGATTTCCAGGCATTTTAATTATCTCCAATTGGTATAAAGCTAAATACTACGTAGGATTCTTATTCCTAATTACGACTCTGATTTTGTGATAGGGATTTTGACGATGGTCTTCTACAAAAGATTCCTCAAATTGCCTATGAAGATGATATCCAAAATATACCTCCTGCTCCTGATGTGAGCAATTATCTAGTTTCAGAGGTAACTTTATGTTCATGTACAAATTTACATGCGTCATTATTCTGATCTTTCGGGGATGTGCTATGTTGAAATTTTAACAAATGTGTATTACTTGATTTTCTGTCATATGTATTGTATATGTGCGTGTTTAACTGTTTTGCTTTGATTCTTCTCAGGATGATGGATCTGCTGCCGGTGGAAACAGAGATCCGTTATTGTTTGATGGCATGGCAGATGCTGAGATAGAAAGAAAATTGAAGGTATCAATCTGGCCTCCGAGTGAATATTTGAGAACTTCGATTTACGTTTGAATAAATAAGAAGCCTGCCTTATCGTTTTTTTTTTTTCTTTTGTGATTGTACTTTTATTTGAGAACTGTGATTTACATCTGATCAAACATAAAGCTTGTCTCATCTTTTGTTGTGATTGTACTTTCTGCTAGGATGCAATATCAGCAGTAGCTTCAGTTATTCCTATGACAACTGCTAAGATAGATCCCAGGCTCGCTTCTTCTCTTCAGTATACAATGGTATCTCCAGGTTCAGTTCCACCACCTGCAGCACACGCATCTATAATACAACTGCCTCATGCACAGTTCCCTCAACCTGCTACACTAGTAAAGCCAATGGGTCAAGTTGCCCCTTTAGAATCAAGCTTGCACAGTTCTCCTGCTAGAGAAGAAGGCGAAGTAGGTGAGTCAGAGTTAGACCCAGATACAAGGCGAAGACTTCTCATATTGCAACATGGACAAGATATTAGGGATCATACATCTAGTGAACCTCCATTTCCTGTTAGACATCCCAATCCCGTTCAAGTTCCTGCCCGTGTACCATCACGCGGAGGGTGGTTTCCCGTAGAAGAGGAGATTGGTTCTCAACCACCAAACCGGGCAATACCTAAAGAAATTCCTGTAGATTCTGGTCCATCGCGTATTGAGAAGTACCGGCCTCATCAACCTCCCTTTTTCCCTAAAGTTGATGGCTCTATTTCATTAGATAGAGCTCTCCACGAGGGCCACCAAAGATTGCCAAAGGAGGTAATGGCTATGTTTCAGTCTATCATTTGATGTTTCACAGCTGGTTCATACTTTTTGGCTTGTTTGGTGAATTCACTTCCAATATTTTTTTATGCAGATTTATCACAGAGATGATCGCACAAGAATAAACCACGCGCTCCCTAGTTATCATTCATTATCTGGTAAGCCATAACACTTGTCACTTCATGTTTGGTTGATTCTCTGCAGTTTCCTCCCCAAACATTCTCTTCTCAATGTTTTCATGTACTGATGACTGTCTGCATTTATTTGGCTCTGAAATCGTAATCAGTTTGAATTGTAGTTTTTGTTGAAGTTTCTGCCATACTGATTTAAAATGACTTTTTGAATTTTTTGAGATTTTTCAGTGATGAGTAATTAAGTTTGATTTGTGGATTGTTGTTTCCTTGTGAAATAACAAATAAACTTTTTGGCTACCTAGAATTGTTTTTTTGTATAGTAAGTGTACCCTTTGACACACTTGCCTTTATCTTCCTTCATTTATATTTTCACAGGAGACATAAGCATTCAAGAAATCTTATATGAAACTTTAAGATGTTTTCTTAGTTTTGTTCCTGCGTGCATGTTACTTTTTCTTTCCCAGTTCTGTTATTTGTAGTGCTATCCTTAGAATAACAATATCTCATGGTTGTTATGCAGGTGATGACATCCCTTTTGGCAGGTCATCTTCTAGCAACAGGGATCTTGACTCTGAATCTGGTCATTCTGCATTGCATTCGGAAACACCAGCTGTAGTATTACAGGAAATTGCACTGAAGTGTGGAACTAAGGTTAGTTGTAATATGTTTGTGCTAGATGGCATCATTAGCTTTTATTAATATCTCGTTGTACTATTTAAGCTTTCTTTGGTTTGTGTACCCAGCACGTTTCTTTGCTTTTGATATGAACAGGTGGAATTTACATCATCTTTGGCTGCTAGCAAAGAGCTGCAGTTCTCCATTGAGGTATCCAACACTTGAGGCTGTGAGACGTTATGATTCCTTGTTCCCTATGTTTGCACCACTTTCTAAGTTCCAGATTTTTCTACAGAAAACTAGATATATATATTTTTTAAATTGGGATAACTTTTTATTTTTTTGAATCAATGAAGTTGCTGCACTTGATATTTGTTATTCACCGTGCTTAATTAACTAAACACGTTGGTTTTGCATAGTTGTAGAGCATGCCAAATATTTGTCTTTTCCAGGATTAGGTGTGCTATGTGCAATGTCAATTTTGTTTTATTGTTTTACTGGGGAAACAAACCTAAAAGTTTAATTGATCTTTAGGTTTGAAGCTGATTTCATCTTGCTTACGTTGGAGTGGTGTTACTTGTTGAAATATTTTTTTCTGTTCTATTTATTCATAATTCGTGTATATGCCTTTGTCTTCTTGTAAGTGACATAATTTTTTGCAGGCGTGGTTTTCTGGGAAAAAAATTGGCCAGGGATTTGGAAGAACTAGAGTGGAGGCGCAATATAAGGCTGCTGAGGATTCTATTAAACATTTGGCTGGTAGGACATTCCACATTTTGGAAGTTTTGACTTGCTACAGCATTATGTAGAAATGTTGAAGTATGAGAAAACTATCCTATAACGTCTTGTTATTATCTTGAATAATCTCATAGGATTAGTTTTTATGTTATTTTAGAGCCTCTCTTAAGACTAGTTTCCATATTTCTTACTTATTACCATGACTTGTTTTTCCATTCAATTAAGATAAGGAGTCTAGTATTGTATACATAGGGGTTGGGAGTTAGGGGTTAGTGCTTATCATTTTTTAATCTTCAAGTCATCTAGTTTTTATTGTTTCTCTCCTCTCTATCTAAAGCCCCATAACTTCAAAAAGGACCATCTATGATGACACGATAATTTCTTTTAAAATCATGTTTTGGGATGAACCATTTAAATCTAAATCCTTCTCAATGGTTGCACTTAGAAGCACAAGCACCTCTAGAAGTAGGCGTGTCGCAGTGTCCAACACTTGTATGATACGTGTTATAAAAGTCAGACAAGTGTTGAATAAGTCAGACTGTCCCTAAAAAATTTTTTTTTCTTTGCTTCGACACGCCTTGAATCGGTGTTCGGCACCCATATGACACTCATACAACACGTGTCAGGCAATTTAGACATGTTTCAAAAAAATAGTTTAATTCTTTGGTTCAACACACCTTATACATTTTTTGGACAAATATCACACACATCTAAAAGGGTTGAAAACATGTGTTGAAACAATGTTATCTATGAAGAATTAAAGACATTAATTTTGACTAGAATATTTTAACTCTTTTAATAATATATGAATAAATAAAGGTCAAATATTATCATATATGTAGTGGTGTCGGTGTCTATGTTTTTGACATAATTGGTGTCGGAGTTTGTGCTTCATAGTGGTTGCATATAGCTTTTCATTGTTCCCTTTTACTTCTTAAGGCCTGGCCTTTACCGTTGAGCACTTGAGCCACCTTCCATTTCATCTACTCTTTCAATATTGGGGTTTTCTATAGGTCTTCTATACACATGCTTAGGTGGCTTGGCCATGAAGAGAGAAGATACACGGTTCTATAATAAGGAGAGTAGACCAGATGGGGGGTAGACAAACCGCTAGAGGTAGAAGAAGACTTAGAAAAATGATAAGAGAACCTATTAAGAAATATCTCAATATAAATGAGTTGGATAGAACCATGGTTTTTGATAGAACATTATGGCGTCAAGATGTCAAGATTTTGAACCTTGCTGCCTGTCTCTATATTATTCAATCCTTCTTTATTATTTAATCAGATTTCAACATAAGATGAAATAGGCCTATTTATTCCCTGCTTCAAGCTTGGAAGACTCTTGTATGAGGTGATGTCTTAGAAATGTTAAACAGCAAATCCATTTTTGGGCTGCCATCCAACAGTTTCAACTTTTAGGAGAGTTGGTCTAATTATTAATCATCTTTATATGGGTATGTCTTTAGGTAAGAAGGCAAGCAAACTGATCAAGATGCATGGTTAGATTCCGAGGTGTATAAATAATAAATTATATACTAAACCATCTAAAATCTCTTCTAAGATCCTAGTATCATAACAAATGATTAAGCAAATTACATTATCAGCAGTATGCATTGCTTGCTACTGTAACGGCGTTCTTACTTTCTATTTCTGTTGTTTTCCTCAATTAAAAAAGTTGTAAATATATTTTGACCTTTTTGGTTGTTTTTGTAGATATATATTTATCACGCGCTAAGGATGAGTCTGGTTCTGCATATGGTGATGTGAGTGGATTTCCTAATGCAAGTGACAATGGTTATGGGGGTAATGTTAGTTCTCTTGGTAATCACCCAATGCCTAAAGAAGAGTCAGTCTCATTTTCAGCTGCATCGGATCCATCAAGGGTGTTAGATCCTAGGTTGGATGTCTCGAAGAGGTTAATGGGTTCAGTCTCTGCCCTCAAAGAATTGGTGAGATTCATAATAAATTGGCCACCTCTCCCCAAAGATTTTTTTTTTTTTGCTAACCTCAGTTCAAGTTTGTGCTTCTAACATGGTATGACTTCTGCGTTTAATTTTTTCAGTGCATGATGGAGGGTCTTGGTGTCAATTTTCTATCACTGCCTGTTCCAGTGTCAGCAAATTCCGGTCAGCAAGATGAAGTACATGCACAGGTTGGTAATCAAACGCGTCAGTGATCTGAACTAATTCATTTAAATAGGACAATGTCATTGAGTTGCTGAATGATTATGCCTTTCTAAACCTGCGTGTTTTAGCGCCTCATTTCTTTGAAGGGCAGAAAGAAAAGATTAGGAGACATTTATTGATGTTTGGATTGTTTTATATTTTTGGTTTGTTAGGCAGTTTGGTGTCCAGGATAAAACATCAGAATTATTGTTATTTTTCCTTTTATTTATGTGGTTTACTATTCTTATTCTTATTTTTGATGAGGGAAGTTGAAGGGTGTTGGATAGAAATTTTCGTTTGACTAAATGAAATCTGGAGTCAGGTGTGTGGGGTAGTAGTCTTGTTAATGGCATACCTGTGTCTCATGGGGCTCATAAACATGACCTGGAAGCCTTCTATGCCTTAATACAATTAATTCCATTGTCTTGCTTAGCCGGGCACTTTGGGTGAGTCTTGGATAGAAATTTTTGTTTGACTAAATGAGATCTGGAGTCAGGTATGTGGGGTAGTACTCTTGTTAATGGCATACCTGTGTCTCATGGGGCTCATAAACATGACCTGGAAGCCTTCTATGCCTTAATACAATTAATTACATTGTCTTGCTTTGCCGGGCACTTTGTTGTTGGTTTCTGGCATTTTTTTTTTATATTGGTGACAAAGTTCTTGGCAAGTATTTAAAAAAAGAATTTTCTATTTTAGGTCGAGATAGATGGCCAAGTCTATGGCAAAGGGATTGGATTAACGTGGGATGAGGCTAAAATGCAGGTATTTTGTTGTCTTTAACGATTAAACATATTTCTGTAGTACATAACATGGGATGTGTATGCTTTCTTCCTTGAATTTGATTAACTTTCTTACATATTGCTGTCGGAGTACTAAGATGCATTTGTTCTTCAGGCTGCTGAGAAGGCACTTGGAAGTCTAAGAACAATGCAAGGCCAAAGTATTCAAAGACGGCAGAGTTCTCCCAGGTCTTTTTTATTACTTTGATTAGAAGATTGTATATAATTTTCTTTCTAGTTTTTGTCTAAATCCCTACCTTTTTTTACTCACGGGACGGAACACATCTAAGAGCTAGCACCGAGATGCATGTTTTTTTGTAGATGGTATAGTTCTAATTAGAGAGTTGAAAGGGGATTTAAATGAGAGGTTGTATACTTGGAGACGAACTTTAGAAATGCTTGACTTCTGTTTAAGCAGAAGTAAGACAGAGTATATGGAATGTAAGTGAGAAACGTTTCTATCCTAGAGGTGAAAGTTGGAGACCATATCATCCCACAAGTCACAATGTTTAATATAGCATGGGTTTGTGATACAAAACGATGGATAAATAAAAAGGGATATATGCTATCGAATTCAATCGGGGTGACTAAAATGGAGGAGGGCTTCATAGATTTTATGTCACACAAAGGTACTATACTCAAGTTGAAGGAAATTTTTTATCGGACTGCGGTAAGAACTGCGATGTTGTACGAAACAAAATATTAAGCGGTTAAGAATCAACACGAGAATAAAGTAAGTGTATCAAAGATGAAGATGTTGTGTTGGTTTGTGGTAAGACTAGACATGATAAGATTAGAAATAACAATATTAGATAGAGTGTTGGGGGTAACACACCTATAGTAGAAAAGATGGTGGAAAATAGACTTAGGTGGTTTGAGCATGTAGAGAGAAGACATGTAGATTTTGTGGTAAGGAGAGTAAATCAGATGGAGAGAAGTCAAACAACTAGAGAGACCTAGAAAGACTAAGAGTAGTTATTAAGTAAGACCTCGAGATTAATGATTCGGATAAAAACATGGTTTGGATAGAACATCATGGCGGAAGCTGATATATGTAGCCGACCCCATTTAATAGGATAAGGTTTGGTTGTTGTTGTAATAAATGAACTTTACTCTAGACTCTCTAATATGTCATGCTTTCTAAGTATAGTACGTAGTAGTTTCCATCCCATGTGAAAATAGGAAGCAGCTCCATCTTCAAAATCTAAACTGGCCAATAGTTTGCCAGCCAGTCCCTACTGACAGAATTGGCTTCTTAGATTGATTTGCTGTAGATATTTATTTTCTTACCTCATTCAATATTTCTTTTGGTAACTATTTTTCTTTCGTTTTGGTTTGGTCATTAACTCTTATTTATGTTACATGAATCAGGCCATTTCAGGGATTTTCAAATAAACGTTTGAAGCAAGAACATCCACGAACTCTGCAGCGTTTTGCGTCTTCTGGTAGATATCCTAGGAATGCTCCACCAATTCCTTGACAAGAGTAACATGATTTTCAATCTCACTTATTGGCATGACTGTTGTTGGGGCATGCATGTGTATATGTTACTGTTTCAACAAGGGTGGTGGCTGTTGGGTTGGGACCATTTCAAATTAAATGGATGAGTGCTTGTCCTTGGTAATTTTTGTCACCAAGCTCAATGATAGAACAAAACCCGTGTTTTGTACAAATGTATGATCCCTCTACTGAAATGGGGGTGAGATACTGGTCAAAGATTATGTAAGATATTCATTCACAACTTGGGGGTTCCAAGCAATGCAGTATTGGCTGTGTTGTGTGGATATGCTTTGAGGCCCTTTCACAAGACAAGATGATGAGGCAAGTCCAATGCAAACTCGAGCAACCAACCCAACAAACCTATTGGAATTGAGAATTGATTCAGAGTTTATATTTCTAACTCAAGTGATGGTTCGAGTATAGGTTCTTTTTTTCTTTAATCGGTTTTCACTAACATAACAGGGTAGTGGTTTTTCATTCCACCAATTCTATCACCTTGGGCCCTATGAAGACACTGTCATTAACAGGGTCTTGAGGAGGTTGGTGAAATTGCATAGTGTAACTTGTTGATAATAATAACAGTTTCTCACTTGTTGTCTATCAATTTTGTTCCCCAAGTCTTTTTGACGAGTTATGCAGTTTATGCCTATGTCTAAATGATTTGCCCTCAACTACATTTTTTTTATAACCTCTAATCCTCTATGCCAAGAGATACCCACAAATTTGAAGACAGTATGTTTGAAATAAAGTCTTCCAAGTCATGATTGATTAAAATTTTATAATATTAATTTTGATTAAAATGAGTTTGCTCAAAGTCGTACTACAGGCAAAGTCATTTGAGAATCTGAGTCACAAATATATCTCAAGTGATATCAACCCATAACAAATAAGCAGATTCTGAGTAAAAAATATATCTCAAGTGATATGCAACCCATAACAAATAAATAAGCTAAAGGGAAATGCTCAATTTATCCTTATGTGTTTTTCCCACACTATTGCGAAAAGATTAGAAAGGCCAGTGTCTGGAGATCCGGAGATATATTTCTATATGAATAAAATGTTGATATGTATTTTCGAAATACCCTTTAATTGTTGATCCATCTAGATATGCATTTCTGGAATTTTGTCAATAGATCAAAGTAGAAACAAAGTAGAATGAAATTCAAATAACTTAAATTAACTATGGTAGAATGAAATTCAAATAACTTAAATTAACTTCAAAATCACATAGATAAACATTACAGAAATTTAACATTACATGTTATTAAAATCAGATAGTTTGAGACGTTGCAACATTCTTATAACATTCTTATAACATCGTCGATTGAGTAACAAAAAAAAAATACTCTACATCACCTTCAAATCATTACCCGTCATCAGTTTGAACAATGTGAACCATAGCTTCTATGTCCGACTTTAAATCATCATCCGTCATCAGTTCGAACAATGTGAACTGTAGCTTCCAGGTTCGGCCCAAGGACAAGGCAAACAGGGCCTTTGTCTTGGGCCTCACTTTAAATCATCACCCGTCATCAGTTCGAATAATATGAATTGTAGCTTCTAGGCCCGACCCAAAGGCAAGGCAAGCAAGACCTTTTCCTCGGGCCTCACTTTTTGGGCTATATAATAGGCCTCTAAATTAAACATTTAACAAATATGTTATACCGGAAAAAAATATTAACTACAAGTTGGTAGTAGCATAGTGGTAATAGAACATTTAACTTTCATTATAGGCAGCATTCGATTTCAGCTGTTGTAACTTATGGAGTCTTTTTTTTTTCATTAATCAACGATTTTTGTAATGATTATAAAAAATCATTCAATATATTCAATGTGATTGGTTATTGAATACATTTATTATATATGGTTATAAATATTCTTTTAATAAATAAAATTATATTTAAATATTTTGACCAAAAAGTTAAATGAATATAGTTATGTTTTATTTTTAATTTAAGAAAATTATGTGTAATTTTGATTTTAATACCTTATTTATTTTTTCTTGGTCATAAAAATGGATTAAGATCTAATATTGTTTCCATATTAATAAAAATAAATATATTTAATGAATAATTTTAAATTAATTTCGAAAATAATACTCTCTTTTTATATAATTTTTAAATTATATAAATATAATAAATAATGATTTTTATTATGTAGCTCAAGAAATACACATAATTAATAAATTTAATTCATGAATAAAAAGTAACATGAATTTATTAATATTAATTAAGGATTAAAAGTAACATGAATTTTTTTTAATAATGAAGGATTAAATTACTAAAATTAATATATTTAATTTATATTATTTAACAATTTAATTAAAGAAATAATAATTAAAAAAATAATAATTAAAAAAATCATTTTAAAATAAATTAATATAAATTTATTAAAATATCTTTTGATTTAAAATAAATAAATAAACTTTTCCTTAGGCGTTCGAAGTTATTGGGTTGGTCCTGGTAGCTTCCCTTTGTTGTCTATCGAGGGTGATCGGTACTCGAGTTTGACAACTCTCAAATTTTGTGAATATTTTAGGAGAGTATTCAGTTTGGTTTTCATATCGACGAGAACTATATCCTCACATATTCAAAATTAAGTGGGAGTGTTGTGCCATTGAAATATACAAAAGTAAGATGAGGGAATTTTTTTTATTAATAACCATGTATTAAAAAAATATTTCGCAAATAATCGGGTTTCGGAAAAAATTACGCAAATAACCATGTTTCAGATGGCTCCACAAAGGAGGAGCCATCTCAATTGGCGCATGCACCTAGGGTTTTGCCCTAGGCGCCATCTCACTTGGCGCCTCCCTTGGCTTTTAGCCAAGTGAGATGGCGCATGCTCCTTAAAAATGAGAGGAGGCGCCATCTCACTTGGCGCCTAGGGCAAAACTAGGGCAAAATGTTGTTTTATAAATAATTCGTCTGTTTCTTCGAAATTTCTCACACTTTCTCGCACTGTATTTTTATTTTGTACTCCGTTATTTGCGTAATGACGTCGCCTATGATTTTTAGCAGAGATGGTTACGTTATATTCTCCGCCACGAAACCTGCGATGAAAATGAAATTCTGGCACATTCACTCCATGGAGCGTCTGAAGCGGGAGTTGATGCGGTGGCTAGATGGAGACATCGCGGAGGGGGGAAAAATTCGAAGGATCCAGCGAAAACGAACAACAACCTCGCATGCGACAGGAAGACCTAATGTGTGGTTGGAGGAAGTCAAAACAGACAGTGATGAAATGCTGATGATGCATGGGTCAGATGAAATTGTGTTAACAGTTGTAATTTCCTAGATTGAATATCGTTAATCATTGTTGTACGCGAAAACCCTAATGTAATTTCCTAGATTGAATTTCCTAAATTGTGTTAACAGTTTTATTAACGGAAAACCCTAATGTTTACAACACAAATATTGAAAAGATTTATTGTATTACAATATTTATGTGGTCGAGCCAGACGCCCGATTCGGACAGTTTTTGCGATTGTGTCCGACCTGACGGCATAAACCACACTTTCTTTCCAACCTGTCAAGATCGTCCATTTCTGTTGTGATGCGCCTACTTTTGGGACGACCCTTCTTGTTCCTTCGCAACGGGGAAAATGTTGTTGTTGCCATCTTGTGCAACTGCCATCAATAACGTGCCTTTGTACTTCCCATACAACCAAGTCCCGTCAATTTGTAGAATTGGTTTGCATGATGCAAACCCTGTGATGCATGGTTGAAATGCCCAAAACACGCGACTGAATATTCCGTTGCCATGCAGTAGACTACCATCTTGGGCGTACGCTGGCAATGTTTCCAGAACATAAACACTACCTGGAGAATATGTCTTGAGTGCATTTAGGTAGCGGGGAAGTTCTCGGTATGACTCCTCCCAGTTTCCGTACACCCTTTCAATCGCCTTAGTCTTTTCTAACCACGCCTTACGGTAAGACGAAGTGTAGTTAAAAACCGTGGTGATGTGGGAGATGATTGTTTTCACCTTCAAAGATGGGTCGTTGCTGACCAGAGGTAGGATTTCTTGACAGATTAGATCATGGTTGAGTTTTCGGTGGTCCTGTGATTGAGTGGAACTTACACAAGTGTGGGTAGTCATGGAACCTATGACCCAGCAGTCACCCCTTAATCTGTATGATGCGGTCAGCTTGAACATACAGTCAGGGTGGACACACTTGATCTTGTACCTTTCCGGGTTGACACGATCCACCTTAAAATCAACCGAGTTGAGCATGTGAAATTTTTTAATGGCCCTGATGCATTCCTCTCTGTTACGAAACTTGTCCTTCTCTTTTAAATTTTCATCCGACTGCATATACGGTTTGAAAAACAAGTCAGTAGAAGGTTCATCTCCGCCCATGTTGAAGTTTGTCATGTGCGGAGGTGGTGTGTAGATTTTGTCTGTAGGAATACTTGGGATGCCATCATCGTCAGAATCATCGTTCACCATTTCATCAAACTCTAACTCGTTATCTTCTTCTTTATCATCAACTGCATCTACCTCATCTTGTTCATTCTCCAAAGGATCAACCTCCTGTGTCACCGGAGGCTCTACCTCCTGTGTCACCGGAGGCTCTTGAAGCAAAACGTACAACTCAATAGAGTCGTATCCAGAATAGACATGGCTGGAAATCATGTTCTGGAGATCCTCGTCATCTTGAACTTCAACCTTATAAAAAATTACTTGGTTGTTTCCAAAAAAAACTGGATTCTGATAAAATATCTGGGATACCGGGCCTCGTTCAAGTTTGGCCTCCAATCTTTTCTTGAAGTACGAGAAATTGGCTTTCCCGTTTAAGAGAAATCGAACGTTGTCGGTGTTTCTAAACAAAAACCCAACTGTGGGACAAATGTATGTCTCACCGTTGAAATGTGCTTTGACAACAAATTATGGTGAAGAGGCCATTGCGTAGAATTGTTTTAAGGTTTGAAGGTTGGAATGTTTGAGGTTTATTGATTGTATGAAGGTATGAATGCT